CTCCCATGACCAAACCTAAGTTATCATAAAGAATAAAACAAGAACTGGGACCTCGGTAAACTTGGGAAATTCCTGAAGGACCTCAGCTAACCCTTGGCTGCCATGAGGACATGGGCAAACGAGACACGGTGCAATGGGGTTGTCAGCTGTCCTGCGTGAGGCTCTCTGCAAGCTCTGTGTGCAGCTCGGGGACCTGGAGGCCTCTGGTCCCTCATGGCCGAGGTTGGCTCCCCTCTGGCATTTGCATGAGCCCAAGGTTTCCAGTCAGTTCCCTCAAGTGCAAACTGCATTGTCCCTTACCTCAGGATCACCCCGCTCATGTGGGTTGGGCCCACCAGAGAGCTGGCACAGAGTGCAACAGCCTGCGTCCTGGGCACTGTCTCGCTGTGCGTATGGACACAAGGGCTCCTCTTCCCCTTTGTACACTTCCACTGGTTGTGGCCCACAAGCCTTCCCCACAAGGGGTGGCTGTGGTTAGCTGGACTGCTGGTCTCCCCAGCTGCTGGATTTAAAGGCAGTGTGCGAACTGGCAGGGTAGCACTCGCCACCAGACTTGCTTGCTCTCATTCTTCTGTGTGCAGCGGTGCTCCACAGGCTGTAGACCTCTGAAGGACATACATCTCAAAAGGCTTTTTGGCTGGAATTTAGCTGGCTGCCTATAGAATACTACAGAATGCTATAACCTACTACTGAATGTGTGCTTTCGCATGTTCTGTGGAAAGATTTAAAAATCTTCAACCACTTGTAGTCATGAAACATGCAGGATTCCATCCAACGCTGAATATCTATTTTAAATTTTTGATTTTTGTTGTCTGTACTCCTCTTATGGAGACATGAGACAGCTTAAAAAATGATTGTGTCTCTAAATTCCTCTGTTTTTAAGATGCCTCAGGCTGAAATCCTAAAATGTTCAAAAAACTAGTTCCTTAACATCACAAAATTCAAACATTTGGAATCGATTTGCACTTTTGAAAATTTAGGTTGTTGTATATTTGGTAAAACAAAACAAAAAATACTTCATTTACATAAAATAAGGCATTGTTTTTGTATTCATAAAAAGTATTTTAAGCTGTAGCTTTTTGCTTGGAAGCTAAAACAGCTTTCAACAAAGTATAACTTATAGAATAATCATATTAAGACTATTTTAATGCAACATATAATGTTCATTCTTGTAATTTTCCGTAATTAATACATTTTTACTATCACCTCATTACTTTATCTGGAGAGCTAATAAATGACAAATGACATGCTTTTGTCATTACTCTGCATTTCAGTTATTTACCAAGTTACCGCTAATATTTCACTTGCCTTTATCAACTACATGGAAAAATCAATATCTGATAGGACTCCGTGGTGTGTAGTAAAGTATATAAGCATGAGGTTTGTATTGCTTAGTCACAGTTTGCCACTTCAAGCCATCTGACTTAGAAGTGACTCTTAAATCCTCTTGTCATTTCACTGTTACCTGATTTGCAGGAATCCAAGACTTAAGCAAACATGTCCAACCCCAGGGAGGCAGATCTCATCCACATGTTTAAGGGGATTCCCTTTACCACCAGGTCTTCTCCAGAACTTTTAAAATCGTTGGATGCTATTCATGCTAGAGAAGATGATGTCCTTCTGGTTTCCTATCCCAAATCTGGTAAGTTCTACTTTTAGATGTGAATTGCAAGAAGTCTCTGTTGTTTGTTTCATGTTCTCTGCTTAAACTACTTGGGAAGTGTCCGTGTATAAGAAACAGGGAAGGATGTTTTAATATGTGAATATATTGTTCGGTCAGTAAGTGTTCAAATTACAAAAAAATATGGGTCATATATCTAAATTTTGATTCTTTAATTGAAAATAATCTCAAGTCTTTTCATATTGGAAAACAAATAAATATTTATTTCTTGTAAGCAGAATCTGTACTTGGAGGATTTTCCTGAGGACTTTCTACATTCAATTATGAGCAAGTCAAGAGTTGTATTAAGTTATTTGTATGGCTCTTGGCTGTATATTTATTCATTTCTTATTCCTTCTCCCCCCGCCTCACTCGCACACAGAAGCACACACTAAAGAAGCAGCTCAATCAGTACTAGGCAAATATACAGACTCAAGTTCCTATAAGGAAAAAAAACCACAGGTTACTCTCAAATGAATGATAAAAATGATATAACCACCCCTCAGCTGACAAGCGGTTTGTCTCATGAGATTGTTTTGGTACCGATATTAACACTTCTCGCAGAGTTACTTTGTACTTCAGCTACAGCCCTATTTTTTCCAGTATTTATACATTTGGAGCCAACGGGATTATTCAGTTATGTGAAGTTTCTTGAGTCTGGGGCATTAGAAGTATCACTTGTACACTAGCAAACTGTTTCCATATGCAAAATGCATGTTCCACATATTTTCTCAGTAACAAATCTTCCTTTCTTTTTTTTCCTTAAAATTACTTTTCTGCAGGCACTCACTGGCTTGCAGGAGTTATAACAAAGCTTTACAACACTCAAGTTACACTAACATCTCCCATTGAATTTGGAGACATATCCAAACTGGAGGAACTGAATAAAGTCTCATCAAAGAGAATCATCCCAACGCACTTGGACTACAACATGTTACCTCCAAATTTTAAGAATAAAAAATGCAAGGTAAGGCAAAAAGATAAAAAAGCAGTAAGATATGTTAAGTGCCTATTAGGAATCTATTTTGTCTGGTTGATCCTTAATAATTTTTAAATGATTTACAGTTTCCAGGAGGGGTTTGCTGTGAATTTTGGAGACATAGCTGACCAGCAGTCGAGGGCAGTGTGAGCAGAGACTTGGGCTAGGAACTGGGTTCTGCTCCTGCAGGGCAACAGAGGAGAACTGAAATGTGGGAGGCAGATTCGTATCACAGTTTTGGGTTCTTCCCATGCTAACGTGGGAGGTCTTTAAAAAATCAGCTCTGGGCCTCAGATTTTAGGTTAGAAGTCCAGTATTTCAGGATTACTCAGATCCAGGCTTTTCGGACAAAGCTAATTTGAATGAAAGGCCAAAATTTATGTTTTGCAGCTGTCCTGTGAATGTTAATTAGTAAATGGTTTCATATCTTATATTTATGAGATAGTATACTGACTCATGAGTTAAAATGAACGCAGCCTCTTTCATAAAACATAAACATTACCCAGCTGCAGGAACCACACCTCTGTCCACGTGGAATTGTTTACTAACCACTACTGACTTCTGCCTAAGCAGGGACAAACACATTTCTATCTTAATAGCATGGTCACCGATGGAAGAATCCTAAAGGAAAGGGTTTTGACACTGCAAACTGCCTGTGAAAATGCTACATTTATGCACAGAGCTCCTCTACAATAAAGGAAGAATATCATAATTAATAACCATATCATCTTCATTTACAGATGATCTACATCAGCAGAAATCCAAAAGATACCGCAGTTTCCATGTATCATTACTACAGAGAGAATCCAAACCTTCCCACTATTGACACCTGGACTGCTTTCTTTGACTTGTTCTTAAAAGGAGATGGTAAGGATAAATGTTATGTTTTCTCCTTGCAGTTTACATTAGCTTATTATGCACAGAAAGAGTTAAGAAATGTGAACTGTGTGAAAACTCCTTATTGCACTCCTTATTCATATGGCTTTAGCTGGGGGTTTTTTTCAGGATAAATTCTAATGCCAAACTAAACAAGAGTAAATAATAGGATGCTATCTTCAGCCCTGCAAGGAGACATTTTGATAAGCGGCTGCATTATTTCAGCACAACTGCTCTTTGTAGGTTTTTGCTGTTCTTTGACATAGCTGTTAAAAAATATATTCTCACAGACAAGTTACTGATTTCATTTCTTCCCACAAACACTCTGAAACCCCTGACAATTTGTTGATTCTGATGCAGATTTGCCTGTGTTAAAACATTTCCATCCTTGTCTTGCAAACCACAATAACAGACTGCTTCCCACCAAGAATTCATGTTTAAACTTTGATAGAGGAGGCAGGCGTATACAGCTCCTCCCAAGCAGACGTAAGGGCAGCTGGGCTCACCGCAGCCAGCTCCTGTCCTCGGTGAGCAGGCCGGTGGGGCAGGCGCTCTGTTTGAAGGTGCTCAGCCAGTTCTACGCGGCTCACTGCCACGCTGAAGTGCAGGCAATGGGGCACATGGGGAGACCATCCCCAGGCTGCACTGAGAGCTATGATTGCAGGCGTAGTGTCTTCTTCCCATCTTAAAGGCAGCCTTGGCTGGCCCTTCAAAGGCAGTCTAGATGCTTTCATAAAGCCCTCCTGCACATGCTCTGCCTGATATGTTGTCTTAGTAGCGGGGTCCAAAGACCAAGGACAAGAGTGAGAGATTTTTATGAGTGGCAGTGGTGGCATGGAAGCTGACAACAGGACCATGTTCCACTTATTCACTCCCATTTTTAGTGTTTTATTACTCCTTTGAGGACATGTGTTCCTGCTATGCAACCGTAAGTGACAATAACAGCAACAATGATAGATCAGCTTGAAAACTTTGAAAGACAAGTGCCATTGCAGTCATCATGGGCTTACATCAAAGATCCAGAAGTCAATTTGTCTACTGGCTTGTGTGCCTCGTTCAGAGCAGCCCTAAGGCATGTGCTTCAGTGATTTGCAGGATCTTGGCTTTGTTTAGTATCAACTCTGAACACACAATAGTGAAAAAAAGAAAAGAGGATTATATTAAATTTTAAAAGCATCTACCATTTATCTGTAAATTTATAGCCACCTTCTATTTTCTGTGTGCTTACGCATGGCATAAAAAGATAACTATGTTGGTTGCAATAGAAATTTAGGTAAGAGGTGATACTGAGAGAGAGCGTGTCATTTTTGCTCCTAATAGAAACATATGGAGGCAGTGCTGCTTGATTCAGATCCTGTACTACTCTTGCAGAGTTAATCTCAGTTCAGAACAAGGGTGAGGACACACAGAGACAACTGTTACACTGTCCCTGGACTCTCCGAGACTGTATGCTGTACCCCTGAAGCCAACAGGGCTATTCTATGCTATCGTTGGCCACATCTCCAGTGTGGTCGACCAGGAGAGCAGGGTTTAATTGCACACTGTGGAGCACACATGCCTTGCAGTTAGACAGTGCTTTATGAGTAGGAGGCAGCTATAGACTGGAGCGTTCAGCAAAATACTTAATTACATCTCAAGGTTTGCAACCAAAATGATGCCCATTACAGCATTATACTTTTCTGGTAGCAGTTATAAAGCAAATTCACAGTTCTAGAGAATGCCAGCTGTGATTGCTCTTTCTAAGCCTCTTCTCATCGCCCTACAGGAGTCTTTCAAGTCATCTTTCAATGCAGTCCATCTTTTCTTTCAACCAGAAGGGTCAGAGTTTTGTTTTTTAAAAGAAAGCTGAAATTTAGCTCTCCTCCCATGGTTCAGCAAAAGGAGCATTCAGACAAAACAAGTACTATGAGTCAACTATAAAACCATAAATTATCTATGTCATTGGCTGAATGATGTATGTGCATAATAACTTGTTTACATAATTCTTCTCTGACTTTTAAAAATAATACAGATTTCTCCTCTGCTGGGACAAAAGAGAGCTAACAATAGTGTGCTCCATTTAACAGACTCCTTATTTCATTTCCTAGTGAAGTGATTGTATTTCTAGCTGTGACCACAGACATGCAGGCATTTGCTGAGATGCTCAGATCTTGTTAAGACAGCACATTTTCCTTCATTACTGGCCTTTCCTTAGATTTGGAGCCTCTTTCCACTACAGAATTAAATCTCAGAATAGTATCTGCATCTCTGATACAAAACCAAATTCCAATAAGCTCTTTGGATTGTAAGTTTGAGTCACTTCACAAAAAGAATTGAATCTGTTTTAGAGGAATAGAGGGTGCACACTAAGAAGGAAGGGATCATTCCCCTAAATGTGCAAGGTGCAGTGAGAGTTATTTATGAATAAAGTTTATATGAATCTCTTTTACCTGGGTTTTCTTTTCAGTTGTCTGTGGATCCTGGTTTGATCATTTCCTAAGTTGGGAAGAACATAAAAACGACAAAAACATCCTGTTTTTGTTCTATGAAGACATGAAGAAGGTAAATATGCTCTCTGCTTTTATTTCAGAATGCATTACTTGTAAATTAACATCATTAAAGTATCAAAGAGCAAATTATAATGAAAAAGGTGAAAGAAGACAAATGTGAATGTCTTTGGGCACATTTTATATTTGCACAGAACTTCATATTAGTAACTAATTCTGACTGCACAAGTTATATAAATATCAAATCCTGTGAGAGTTGCATTTCACAGATGTAGGAATGGGACACATATTACAGGATTTTTTCCCCAGGCTACAGGAAGAATTTTAAGTTCCTCATTCTTGGTCCTATAGAAAGACCAACCTAGGACACCTGTTGAGGGCCACACATTAACCTGCTATGCTTGACATTTCAGGTGAAATTTTCAAAAAGTGATGTAAGACAACAGAACTACTCATGGTCAGTGGGACTTGTGCTCCCAATAAACAAGAAAATTAGAGGCTGGAGGGTATAGGAAAAAAGTTTTGATGAACGGAAATTATTATGCAGAAACTGCTTTGCTATTCTTAAAAAAAAGTCAAATACCAACATACCTTAGCTTTCAGAGAATGATTTTTTTGGGTGAATAAAACACACTTTCTAGTGTTTTCACTAAAATAGTTTTGTTCATTTTTTGGAAAAAAAAAATCCACTACGAGGAATATAAACAAGCAGGTTTGGATCCTGAGTCACTTGTTGGATCTCTGGATATAGCACCTCCAATGAAATAAGCTACTTACACAGAAGCTGGGCTTTGAGTATTTCTCTATTCCCAGTGAAATAATTCTGAGAGACAGGAGAACACTTTGCCTGAACTGGGAGTAAAATTGCAATGTAACTGTATTTGATATCACATACTCAGCATTTACTCAATTCTGTGAGTGTGGGTAAGAGGGGAATCAGGCTTACCGTACCTGTCATCTACACAAGTCAAGCTTTGCTTGAAAGCAAATAAATGTGTGATAAACTTGGTATGTAATAAAAACGATCATTTTCATACCAACTAAAAGTCTGATAATCAGCTCAGAAATATAAAAGCTTTATTTTTCTTGTACCTCAGGATCTCCCTAAGATTGTAAAGGAAATTAGTCTGTTCCTGGCTTTAAACGTCAGTGATAATGATATCCAAGACATCTGCAAGAAGTCCTCGTTCTCAGAGATGAAAAGCGACACAGAAAAGGAAAACAGCGATCCCAATCACACCGTTTGTGCACTGACATCCAACAGGAAGCTGATTTTCCGAAAAGGTAAGTTCCCCAGGCTGGGCTTGACGCAGCAAAAGGAGTGGGAAGCCAGCCAGAGGCTGCAGTCCAGGTCTTTCCTGGACTGTAGTGACGCTTTGGGCCAGCCCCGGGAAGCAGTGACACGATTCTTTAATTTGAAGCCATCTTAAAAATCACTTTCTTTCTAAGTTCTCTGGTGGCAAACGCAGGCTTATCCTAGAGAAGCACGGAGGAGTCTGAACAACACTCTGACTACTATTGCTCCGTCTGAGCTTTTCAGCTAAAAGGAAAGCTTCACGAAGCATTACTCTTTATCTGTCTTTTTTTATCTAAAAGTTGACCACCTCAGTCTTTTACAACATGTCCCCTCTGATATCACCTGCGAAGGTCACTTAGTTTACTAGAATGAGAGACAGCGAGACACATTCCTCGCCAAGGAGACTGCTCGTAGCCTTTATCATCCGTACCACCTCTTATCTTATTGAAATGTTCCTGAAAAAGGAATATGCTGACAATGACAACAATGAAAGAACGGATGACTCAGTCACCTGATGGCCTCATAGGTAGCCTTCAGACCTTGGCCAAGCTGGAATGCATGGTAAAATCTTCAACAGTGCTTAGCTCAGATGTGACTTTAAAATACCTGCAGGAGCTGTTTTCTTTCTACTGACGTTTCAGAAGCTTGCTCAGATTTGGATAATAAGTCAATCAAAACCATCATGTTTAGATGGATTTTGATTATTTTTACTTAGTTAATTTTTGAACAATAATTGACAGTTTAAGAGTTGTTTCAATTAAGAAAAACTTGTTTTCATTTATAAATAGGGAAACGGTACATTTTGCTAATTCAAAATGTTTTTACCAATGAGCTGAAGCAAGTGCCAAAACACAATGTCAGTAAAAAGCAAACAAACAAACAAAAAGCTCAGATACATCTTTCTAAGTCAGTGAACTTTAACAAAGCTATGTTGAAAAATTTGAAAAACCCCAAGTTTCACTTCCAAGTAGCTCCTACGCAAACCCCAGGGTTTTAGCCAGTTTTAGCCAGTTTACAGAAGATTTATATATATATACATATATATATATATATATATAATTCTTCAGGCTCTCTTTTCTTGTCCTTGCTGTCCAGAATGCTGTTTTAGTCAGCAGTTTTGGGATGCAGGGTCTTTAGAGGATGGACATGAGGGAAAACTGTAAGCATTGTCTCATTAAAATATGTCAGTTTAAAAAACAATTTCCTGTTTGCTCAAACTGGGTAACAGTTGAAACACTTTACTGAACACGAGTGTGCATGGTCACCCAGAAGCAGTTGACTGCCCACTTAAGCAGTGGAACATCTCATCTGTAGAAAGCCCTAGAGATTAGGAGCGGGTGTGAGGGTGGGATTCATCTATCAGGTCACTCTGGGCTCCTTTTTCAGGAGTCTTCTTTAGTCAATGGAGACATATGGCTGCTTTTGGGGCACCATTCAATCGATGAGTTTTAGACGTTGACTAGGATGAGCTGGGTTTCAGCCACGAAGTAACCATTTCCCTCTACTGACTGTGAAAGAGCCCAGACGGAGACCTTTAACTGCATACATCTAAGGTCCAGCAAGATGCCTCTCTGCTGAGATGACCAAGAGCTCTAATTCCGTCTAGGAAACCTGCTGCTCTTCGTGTACCACTTAGCGGTGCTGGCACTATATGAGTCTGCGGCTGAGGGTTTAACACCCTTTATGGACGATGATCCAGCGGCTTCCATCAGAGTGTCACCAGACCAATAAAACAATTACTCGTTACTCATGATCATGACCTACCGCAGAGACTATGGTTAATAATATATTAATAATTTGTGCCAACTGCAACATTAACAAAACTGGGCTGCCTTTAAATGATTTTCTGCACTATATATTGCTAGTCTCACTGTTCTTTTTCTTCTCCTGCTCTCCTAGGTGCTGTTGGTGATTGGAAGAACCATTTCACTCCAAAACAGAACCGAAGGTTTGAGGAGATATTTAATGAGAAAATGAAACTCAGCAAAATGGCAAAAAGTCTCATCTATGAATTTTGACTCCATGTGAAGAACAATAGCCAGTTATCAACAAACACAGATAGAGCAATTGGTGGGAAATTCTGAATGGGGGCTCCCATTCAGTTTATAACCCTCCCAGTAGAAAGGATTGTAAATATGAGATTTTGAGGACAGGAAAATTCTGACGCAACGCCAGAGCTGAACTCAAGTTTTCAGCGGGCAGATGTATATAGTTTTACAGTCAGGTATCAGACCCATTTTTCTGCAATCAAATCTAGTTTATCATTTATTTATTTATTGCTCTAGAGGGATACGAATGGACTCCTTAGATCTGATTTAGGAATTTTACCTAAGATGTTAAGAAAAAAACAAACCTGTAAGAATCTGAATATATAAAAACTCTAAAAACACATCATAAGAAAATGACCGAAGATTTGACCCCAGACTCACTCCCTCCCTGATCAACCATGACTTGGAAAGTGTCTACCTTACCGGACTTTGTTATTGATACTGAAGTGGAAAAATGCAGCTGTACATTTGAAGATCTAGAGTGAAGTTTGTTTATAAAATGTCTTTTTTTTTTTTTTTTTACAATATGAATTCTTTGATGTAACTTATTTCAGGGTTAGGTACTGTATAGTGTTTGTGTTTTAAATGCAACTGATATAAATCCATGTAAATTTCTGCACCATGTGTTGGGGAACTATAAACATGTTTTTTTTCCATTTGACTTTCTTCCTGCATTCGTGTTTTGATGACAACCATTTTACTTCACGGTCCTTGTGCAATAGAATTCAACAGTTCCACTGTGGCAAACAAACTGCTACTCAGAGACAGTTTAATCTGAACACAACTTATTTATTTACCCTGCCCTGATAAGACAGATTTTCCAAGAATCAGCTGTCTGTGTTCACATCTGAGGGACTGTTCTAGGAACCCAGTGAAGATTTTTCTTCTGATTCATTCCGTGATGTGTTTTCTGTCCTCACCTTCAAATTCCTTGGCAGGTTGGCTTTAAGGACTCTTCTCCCCAAACTAGTTCTCCCCAACCACATAATTCCAAGGCATCAGCAGGCAGAAAAAAACATAGGAAAAGCTGATCAAAAAGAAACTCAATGCAGACAAGCACGATTACTCTGCTTTGACTCCTGTGTGCTCAGAAGGTACATATCTGTAAGGCAAGCTCATCCTCTGGGTGTGTTGTTTCTGAAAAGCTGAGGTATGGCCTCATTTACAGTGAACACTAATGCTGTCTCTAGCCACACATTTCACACTTGCCACACAGCCCTCTCATTTCATACCTTGCTTATGCAAGCTGACATCGATACCTACCAATTTTGCATCTGCACAAACGATACAGAAGTTACGTGCTGAAGAGATCAGTGGGAGAAAAGCCTGTTCAATAGCAGTCCCTTGCCATTTACCAATTCAACACAATTTAAGGGAGATGCTGCCCTGAGCACTGGTCTATGCAAATGACCCATTTGGAAACCAGAAGTTTGTTTGTGTTGCTTTTCTCTTCTGACACTAAAAACACTCCCTCTCTCCCTCTAAAATGCCACAAACCACAGCTGCCCTCCTTTCAGGTGTCATTCTTCCACTATTAATAAGTGGCAAGAGATCAGCTAATGATGATGCTTGAACATTTTAGGATCATAGAATCATAGAATAGTTTGGGTTGGAAGGGACCTCTAAAGGTCATCTAGTCCAAACCCCCTGCC